TTATCTATTAACTGGGTCAACCTTTTGAGCACTGGAATAAGTCACCAAATGGTCACAAAGCAACGAGTGCCTTACCAGTTTTCCACAAGTGGAGCAGAAAGATATTCCTGATCCTCAAAATCAGTAAAGCAGTAGATGCATAAACATTCGTCCTTGCAGTCTTTCAACTTGCCATATATGAACAATGATCTATCTAAACTCTGTTTCTCTGAAAAATTACAAGCAAGGTCTTGGGCATATGTATGCATAGTTGAGTCAAGGAAATGAAGAAACTCTAGAATCAAGACCTTCTGCAGAACATCAAGCAGTGATTCCTCATTTGGACTAAAGTTCCTGCAAAATTCATGCAGTGTTTCTCCAATTCTCCACTTTCTCAACTTCAGATGATATCAAATCTAGTTCTCTGCAGGTGAAGGCAACCTTATCACCTAATTCCTGAAGGTAATCAAATCTTATCAGTGTCAAGTGAACCGAGGGCAATGCCAAGGCCCCGATGAGGATCTTTACAATCAATATATCAATATACAATAAATCCAAAGCAAGTTGGCATTATTCACAACCCATCAACAACATGATTTATTCTTTAAATTATATAGGCAAACCAGAAACATGTCTAGTTAAATATAAAATAGTTGACAAAGGATTCATGACAGCCATTGGTTGATATGTGCTAAAAACATACCTTGAGTTTCAACATTGATACCCAAGACCGTTTCCCAGAACAAAGGCTAAGGAATTGATGTGCCTGTTCTTGCCACATTCTACAGCGGAAATAAAAAGTAATTAGATAATGCATACCATATATAAGGCAGGCGTATCAACTTTATCAAACTGTCCCATAGAAAATTGAAAAACCACAAACCACATTCCCTAGAGTGAAAGTGCTGTCCACTGGCAAATTCTGGCCCAGGATGGCTTATACAGTAAATAGGTTGGAAATTAATCCAGCAAGTGTAAACTTTACAAATCCAAATAATTAATTGAAATCTTCTAGAAAAACACAAGACCAAAAGAAAAAAAGAAGAAAAAAATAAAGAGTTGATAATAATTGATTTATCAACAACAAAAGCTTACTTATGTTTTCCAATGGCTTCTTCAAGTTGGTAGACTATTGCTGCAAAAGGAATATTAATAGTCTGCAGGTAAGAAAAATGCAGACGCAGGCTGCAGATATCAATACATATACATTTTTATATTGAATAAACAAAAAATAAGAAAATAAGAATTATCAATCATCAAGAGGACAATGCAGGATAAAGAATACCTGGTAATCTCTAATAAATTGTCAACTTCGCTTGACTTGCTTCTCCTAGAATTGTGTGATCCAGAAATTACTTCCAAGGCCTGCCTAAGCCACTTGACTCCACGAATCAGTATATTCAATAGGGCCCCAGAATCACACAAATGAGGAAAGTCTTTTGTAGCTTCCAAAACATCCTACATTATCAATCAGAAAGCAACCTTAGAAAGCATGAGACAACCTGCTCTTTCTTATTCTCTTTTAAGAGAGAGAAGGTCAAAAAGTACTTTGAGGAGAAACTTTTGTTCTCCATGGACAAAGAATCTTAAATATATTAAAGCAGTGATCCATGCAATACCAGCACTGAACTTAGCCACTGATAGAGTTCTGAGGTAATGGGTGATCTGGGAAGAGATATTATGAATAAATATTATTTTTATTTATTTTAGATATTTTCTATTTAATAATATTGTTTAGATTTCATTTAGGTATTTAGTTCTCTATATTTATGTAGATATTAGATATTTATTTAAGTATCTAGATGTTTATCCAGATATCTAATTATTTAGATTTTATTCCAATATTTAGTTCCATAGATTTTATTTAGATTTTATTCAATATTTTATATAGATATAGATTCTAGGAGATTTTATTCAATTTTATTTAATTATCTAATTATATAGATTTTATTCATTATTTTAGATTGTATTCAACATTATAAATATTCTTACAACTCAAAGCAAGCACATATGAATAAAACAGACTTTTGAGACTTGGGCCCTTTAAAGATTCTCTTAAACGTGGCTGTTGAGATTATGAAGTTAGATCCTGATTTCATGTGTTAATAGATATTTATCTTCCTCATTTCTCTTTACCTATCTGCATCCTATCAACCACACTTCACTAGGCCAATTAAATTTAAAAAAGACGACTTTTTGCAAATGCAATAAATAGTAGTTTGAATAGAAAGAATAGTAACCTCCAAGAGGGAGAAAGATTGCAGAAGAAAGAATCTTTTTGCACCAACGCAGTGTAGAACAAGTTGCTTTAAGTTTGGGAAGCTCATCAAAGTCAAAACCAAGCGATAAACCAGATTTTGTGCTAGACTGCATTCTGGCAATCAACCTTCAACTTGGGACATTAGGCCACTGCTTATTCCATGAACAACGTCATCCAATTCAAAAGTATGCTGGGCATCTTCCAATAGAGAACATGCCTCACACTCCCATTTTTTGCAGTTTTGCAGAACTATTTCAAGCATCCTCACTTCTTCAAAAGATATTTTAAGAAGCTTTGACTGAGAAACCACACATCTACAAAAAAAACCAAAATTCCATATTTATAGTGAACCTGCTTTCAGCAAAGATGAAAAGCAAACAGGACAAGAAATGAACCTGAAGCTCCTCAACTTTCAGTGGAGAATCTGATGGACAAGTAGAAGAAACCAAAAATTGTTTTGAATTCATTAGCCATGAATTAGCTTCCAGCAGTGCTGCCTTCAATCATCAAGGGAAGGAAGAATCAAAAATATGCTCTCTGAGGCCCTACAAGACCAACCAAATGCAATAATAACCATGAATCAATATAAGCTAGAAAAGCTCAGTAATTCTAATAAACATGTCAACCATCCTTGAACCTGATGATGTCCCCGAAGTCAGAGAAGGAAGCCTTATGTGAAATTAGAACCCTTTCCTTTCCTCCCAAGGTATGGCAACAGCAAGTAAACCAGATAAACCAACAAATAATTTCTCTCCCTCAAGTTGTAGCCTAGAAATTAACAAAAAAATGGAAGTAGTTGGATTATATTAAAGTTTATAATTTTTCAGTTTTGAAAGAAGAAAAAGAGATTGCAAATTACAGTCTGGCCTCCTTCATCACTTCCTGAACAAATTCCAGAGACAACCTAGATTTATATGCCTGTGCCAATTACAAATAATTCTAATATTAATTAGTTTAAAAAATTGGAAGAATTGCTTCAGCACGTAATATAATAAATTCATAGCTCAAACATTCGATGCTACACAATTCTAATAAATAAATCCAAGGTCCGTACGACAAATGCACTAGAAAAATGAACATGCCTGTAGAGCCTTTTCCCGACAAAGAGCTTTCTGCAGCTCAGTCTCAACCAATGGCAACTCATCAACTGCAAGGTGAGACAGTGGGGACAATGAATTGACAACATAATAAACAGATACATGGCCTATAAAGATCTAAACTATGATAAAGTGGGACAAAAGGATCCACTTTTACCATGAATTTTAATGATAAACCATCTCCTAAAATACTCTTCAATTCATCGATGACATTATGTTGGTCCTCCCGTTCATGTGTTGTTCCTACAATATGGTTAAAGTTGGAAACCCATGAAACAGCATCCTTATAATATTTCCGCAAAAGCTTCACCTCAGGTACATCAACCATAAAGCCGTCCCATTCCTTAAGAAGCATCTTGACATTCTGCAGATCACCTTTGCTAATAAAGTAATCCAATTTAACAACCAAAAAACTTAAAGAGGTGAGAAAGGAACAACAACCAAACCTTTAGATCATGGGACCTTCTAACATCTCACTACATTTTGAACCACAAGATTCTGCTTGACTTAATATATTCTGAATCACGTCCATCTCTGGAAGCAGTACTTGAAGCTCCATAATCTATTATAAAGAATGAATAAATTATTTAATCATTATATAGATCATGTAATGCAAAATATGTGCATGACTTGGAGTCTTATGTCGATTAAACAGTATATGCATACTAATATATTAAATTAATACCATAGCAGAAAATATTTCCCTTCATTTTTGAAACATTGCAATCCCTTTACACATTAACTTGAGAGCTTGCTTTAAATTACAATAAATAATGTAAGACCGTCAGCCACCTTTACGCTGACAGGAACTATAATTGAGAAATTAAACAAAGTCAAACTAAATGCACTGTTTCTCAAGAATTAGGGCCCATTTGTTTAAAATTAAAAAATAATAGATAATTTCTAGATTTTATAAAAAAAGATTTATTTTGTCGAGATTTATAAAAACAGAAATTATTTTATATTTGACTATAATAATAAAAAGTGGTTATTCTTTAGCGATTTTGATATGAAAAGAATAAATAAAGAAATAAAAAATATTTGGTTGGTTAGTTGAGGTTAGTTAGTTGCTGCAGAGAATAAAGGATTTGGGAACCTATACAAGAGACCCTAGTTGTAACCTGAAAAAGGAAAGTATTGCTTAGTCTCTATCCCCTCCTATCTATCTCTCGTCTTTGTCTCATCTTCCTTCCTATTTATCCTCTGTTCTACTCTATTTCTTCTCTATTCTATATCTTCTACCATATCAGATTTTAAAATTTTACGATATCTTCATGGATTTCTATTCATAGAGAATGATTTATTAAAATTTTATAATATTTCCGAATATCTCTGTATTTTTCTCTCACCAACCACATCATATTATTTTCAGACGCCACCTTTTTTTTGAGATTCTAATTATTTTAAGAAGTTTAAACAAACATCATAAAACTTCACAAATTAAATTTTTTTTAAAAAATGTGATTTTTGTCATTAAAAACAAAAGCTTAAACAAATGATCCCTTGATAACCTCTGACTTCAACTTGTAAAGAACATCAAGCTCTACTGCAGCAGGATGTTTGATGGAGATGCAGCTTCTGGCTCTCTGCAGCCACACCTGAAGTGTGCCAAAAAACAATAAAACACACACACACACACACACACACACACACACCTGTTTAGCGAAATATGGAAAGCAAAATTTGCACTGCTCCACAAGCTTAAAGTACCACATAACAGCTCAAGCTTTAAAAAATATGCACTTGAGAACATAAGCAAAACTTCAGGCTGGTGCTAAGCTACAGGTGCACTCTCATAGAGACAATCATGTACCATTTTATTTTTAATGAAAAAGTCATGCATCATTTGTAAATTAATCATCAACTCCTCATCTCTTGTGGGATTAAATGTCCATTCAGCTTCCTTTTTATGTTTATGTTTGGTGGCCTAAAGCTTTTCTAAGAGATTTGATCCCACAAGTTTTCAAGAGAGTGAAAGGTATTGTTGATTTCATTGCCATCTTTTTCGGGATAATTTCAGGAAAGGATCCTTGTAGGGATTTAACTTCAAATCAGGATCAATAGAATATGAAAAATAAATATACACTGCAGGACTAAGGGACTGAGTCGAAAATATTTGATAGGAAACTACCAAATTGCCCTTCATTTTTTTAACAAATTGAGTTAGGATTTTAACATGTTTATTTCACATTTTAACAAGTCAACAAGACTGAATATATAGAAGGTACTATTAACAAGTTTCCCTAGTAAATTCACAACTATGCATCACTGTTGAAAGTGGGCTGATGGACCTAGGCCCATTAGTTAACTTAACCCTAGATTTAATCTCATATTATCTTTCTTTTTATTTTAGTTGTTATTATCTTTTCAGCATGATATTAGGGATTATTTTATTTTTCTGATATGATATTATTATTATCACCTCTCTTGTACTTTATAAATACTATTTCCCTCTATATAAAGAAGCATGATTCATCACAAAAGTGTTCATGGCATTAGAGCTGCCATCGACCTATACCTAAATTTTTATCGCTCATGCGACTTCATGTTGGATGTGGGCCTTTGCCTATATTGGGCCTAGACCCACTAATACACAAACCTAATTTTCCTTCCTGAGCTTGCAACGTCCTTCAGAATCTGTAATTAGTGATTATTATTATTAGTTTTTATTTCATAAGAGAGTTTAGGAATCTGATTAGATTTATTCTCTCCCCTCCATCTATATATGTAAATCGTGATTTGTCAATAAAACATAGAGGGGAAAACAGATTCAATTACATGATATCAGAGCTCTAGTCTTGACTCTTCCCTCTTCCTTCACGATGTCGTACATGAACGCACTCACTCACCAACAACCTCGAGTCTTCCAACCAGCGATGGCAGCAAACGCCTTCGACTAGGACGAGAAGGGTGCAACTAGAGGAGAAGGCTGAACTCAACGATTCTGCCTTCTGGGGTAGTTGCGCCAATAACTGAGACGCACTACCAGGTCGCAGTCACGCACCGCCTGAATGGGAATAACTACCTTCAGTGGTCCCGGAACATTTTGATGGTAGTCCGAGGGAGGAATAAAGAAAAATATCTCACTGGTGTTCCTCCGCCACTGATGCCTGATAATGCCCAATATGCAATATGGGTTGTTGAGAACAATATGATGATGGCATGGCTTATAAACTCCATGACAGTGGAGATAAGTGAGAATTACCTGCTTGCAACCACTGCCAAAGAAATTTGGGAGTCAGCAAAAAACACGTACTCGATCAAAGAAAATGCTACTGCTATATTCCAAGTAAAACGTTCCCTTAGAAATCTCATTCAAGGTGACAAGTTTATAACTCAATATTATACTACTCTAATGAAGTTCTGGTAGCAAATTGATCTCTATGAGATCCATAAGTGGTCTTGTCACAGGGATGGGACTTATTATAAAAAACTGATTGATCGAGACAGATGTCATGATATTCTGCTGGGTTTAAATGAAACTTTTGAGGATATTCGGGGTCAAATAATGAGCATGAAACCCCCTCCTATGCTGGAAGAAACCTTCAACATGATCCGATATGAAGAGAGCAGAAAAATGTTGACTCAAAGCTCCATAATATCAACTCCTATTTCGAATAACGCTTCCGCACTTGTTGTCCATGGAGCTCAAGGGGAAATGAAGGGCAAGAAATCTGGAAAATGGTGTGATCACTGCAATAAGAGTGGGCATACCAAAGAGGTTTGCTAGAAACTACATGGAAAGCCCCCAAATTCCAAAGTAAAGCCTAAAAATGAAGGAAAGGGGCTTATGATTGGTGATGCAGAACCTGAAAGTGGGTCTTTAAGTACTGAAGAGTTGTCAATTCTCCGGAAAATCCTAGAAAAGCATGCTTCTTCAACTGGAATGAGTGAGCCAAAACATCCTTCTGTAACCTTGGCACATTTAGGTACTGCCCTTACTTATACTCTCAGTGAGAAAGCCAACCCAAAGAATATTTGGGTAGTAGATTCAGGAGTTACTGATCACATAACAGGTTTCAGAGAACTTTTTTTCTAATTTTAATGAACATTCTAAGCATAAATATGTTGAAGTATCCAATGGTGAATTTGCAAATGGAACTATAATTATTTCTGAGCATCTTACCTTAAAAAATGTTTTATATGTTCCAACTATTAAATGTAGCTTACTATCTGTAAGTCGCATTGTAAATCAAGCCCACTGCTTAGTATTTTTGACAAAAGGGGTTGTGAATTTCAGGACTTAGTCTTGGGGAAGATGATTGGTAATGCTAAGGAATGGCATGGACTCTACTATATTCATAGACCTCCATCCAAGAATAATCCTACTATCTGTTCTGTCATGACCAGTGTTGACCTTACCTTATGGCACTCTAGGTTAGGCCATCCAAGCCTTCAATATATGAAATTTCTGTTTCCTAATATCACTAATAAAACAATTTCTGAATTTCATTGTGATACTTGCAAATTTGCTAAGCAAGTCCGACATTCTTTTCCTTTTAATTCTTCTACTCCAACTCACCCTTTTTCCCTTATCCGTAGTGACGTATGGGTACCATTAAAATTTGAAACGAACTCCAAATGTAGGTGGTTTGTCATGTTTATAGATGATCATACTTGACTAACATGGGTTTTCTAATGAGAGAAAAAATTGAGGTTCTCACCATCTTCAAAAATTTTCATGTGTTTATTCAAAATCAATTTCAAACATTAATTAAAATTCTTCGCAATGACAACAGAAGAGAATATTTGAACTCCACTTTCAAAAATTATTTAGAACAACAAGGAAGGAGCATATGGAAGGTGTAAACAGGACTCTAAGATATCTAAAAAACACACCAGGCAAGGGATTATTCATCTCAAAAGGGAACAAGCAGTGTGTCGAGATCTATACGGATGGGAACAACGGAATTCAGGGCTGAAACAATACAACAGATGTAGAGATTTACACTGATACAGAGTGGGCAAGAGCCATTGATGATAGACGCTCTACAACAAGTTATTGCACATTTATGTGGGGTAATCTAGTGACTTGGAGAAGCCAAAAACAACCAATAGTTTCAAGAAGATCGACAGAATCTGAACATAAAGCATTAGCACTTAGGATTTGTGAAAGTATATAGGTTGTACAACTTCAAAAGGAACTCAGTATAGAAATGGAAGCTCCTATCAAAATGTGGTCTGACAACATGGCTGCTCTAAAAATTGCAAACAATCCTGTTCAACATGATCGGACTAAGCATGTTGAGATTGATAGGCACTTCATCAAGGAAAAAATTGAAGCTAAAGTCATAAACCTGGCCTACATTCCTTTAGGAAGACAAGTTGCAGATGTGATGACTAAGCCTCTAGTTAGAGCCAAGTTTGATGAAATGATAAGTAAGTTGGGAATAATCAACATCTATTCACCAGCTTGAGGGGGAGTGTTGGAAGTAGGTTAAATGGCCCATAAGCCTTAGGCCCATTAATTTCACTAAAACTAACCCTAGATCTAATTGTTATTATCTTTAGTTATTTATCAGCAGATTATTAGGGATTGGGATCAAATTTACTATTCTGTTTTTATTTTCCAGATTACAGAGGAGATTTGATGCGATTGTGATCTGATTATGATCTGATCTCTCCTATATATGTGTCGCTGCTCTCTGTGAATAAATCAATCCCCTTTTCATCCATAAACTCACAATATGTTTTCTTTCTCTTTGGAATTGACAGCAGAAAACAGCAAGCCCCAATGCCTTCTTCTGAAAGATAGAAGGAGAAAACTCAACGGGAAAGCATAAAAAATTAGTAAGTAAACATAGTTTTTTCCTGGTAGTTTAAGTTGGATGTAACAAATCTCTGATATAGAACACCCAACAATCCCTAATCTTCTATATAATTCCAAACAAAATTGAAAGAGATAAATAAAAATAAAGTTCCAAAAAACCCAAGTAGAAATATATGAGTAATGCTATTATTATATGGCAAATTCTACCTTAGTTGAAGAAATTTTCCTTTCCAACTTCTCAACATCTTTCACGTAGAGTGGATAGCCACAAACTCTAGAATGCAATGATTCCAACTCAGACATCTGAAATGAACATTGTTTATTACAATGGTGGACTAGATAGAAGAAGCAGAATTTCATCGAATGTAATTTATAACTAGCAAGATTACAACACATTGACAAAGGCATATAGTTGAGAAGTCTATGTTAAAATACCTTTGAACACTTTGACAAAGCAATATTAATCTCCTGACTTAACAACACAGCCCCTTCTGTATATTCCTGGTGTCATTATTTAAAGTTAAAAAAAAAATACGGAAGGGGCAACAAAAATAAACTTAAATAACACCTTCAACTTATGATAAGCAGGCTCATTGCATGGTGCAAAATTAAATGTTAGCAGCTGATCAACAAATTCTAGGTGCACTTTCTCTCTGTCAAAGTCCTGATCACACAACCAGGCTTCAATTTTTCTTAAACAATCTCTTATCCCTTCTGCCCACTTCTGAGCTTCAATCAAACTCTTCACCATATCTCGAACCTATATCCCAACCAAAAAAACCTTAATTGTGTGAAACATTATTTAATGGGACCAAATTCAAAAAACATCAAGAACTCACAGAATTCATCTCAGGACCGGCCCAAAGAAACTGTTCAGCTTCCCTCAGCACAGAAACAACAGCATCGCTTGAATAAGGATTCTGAAGAATCTCACTAGATCGCAGAAGCCATTGTGTAGCAAGCTGCGAGAAAGTAATGGAACCACCTTTTACCTACACCATCCAGCAGTCTCAAAATAATATTAAATTATAACAAGAAAGAAAAAACCTTCAGAAATGCAGTAGGGCATTCTACTCAAAATATTTAACATAATTACCTAAAAAAGGGAATGTCATAGTACATCACAAGATTATTTCTACTTAAATCCAAATAAATTGAAGGTTTTATCATAACAAATACACCAACACTAGGTGATGGCCCCCATGGCACGGATGATATGGCATTAATGGCAGCGAAGCTTGAGGATGATAATCATGAGCATGGTGACATGGAAGGAGCCCAAAGAAAGGAGTAAGGAGCCCAATACTACCAATCCAACGTACTTAAAGACCCATTACGACATATTGGAGGTCCAATAACAAGAGCCCGAACTAAAGCCATTAAGCAAGCCTTGTTTAGCCTTGTGCAAGAAGTCTAAGAGTTTGGAGAGCATTGGGACACTCCTTTCAAGCCCAAAAGAGAGCATCTATACGTGTATAATGTGCTTAAGATCCAAATCCATGAAGAGCCAAACCCAAGAGATGCAAACCTTAGCCCAATGCAAGGAAGACTGCAAGTTGAGCCTCTTGCAAGCAAGGAAGCATGAAACCCTAATAAAGAAGTCAAGGGTGGCATGATTTTAAATCCTTTATGATCCCTTTATTGTCTCCTAAATTATTTTCTATTTTAATGGTCCTTTGATTTGATTTTCTATTTTTGAGTCTAATCAAAGATTATAATTAATTATATTATTAATTTCTAAATTTTATAATCCCATAATTTTAGGATCACATCTCCTAAATTATGTGGCTGAATATTTTCTCATTATTTTATATTATTTCTTCTTTTAGTATTAGGAAATTTGGGTTTTAAATTTAAGAAATAGTCTTCTCTGTGATCCTATATATATTAGGCATGCTCCCTCTTGTAAACAAAACAAAAGTTGAATGAAATTATTCATTTTAGAGTTTATAACTCTTGTGAGCCTTAGCTTTGCAGTGGCATCTCGTATGAGAAACAGGCGTGATCAAGAGCATGATCAACTCTTGTGGTATTTTCGAAGGTTGAGGTTCTTAGAGGCAGGTGCTCTAGATGATCTTATCCTTGATCATTATCCCATTGTTTATTTCCTTTCTTTCTTTATTTTCGTCATAAATTTCGTCCCTTTTTTTTGTTCTTATGTTTTTGTTGTGTTTCAAGGTTCTGTCCCTAAATTAGCACGATTCTACTTCTGCGTCCCCTATCAAATTGGCATCAGAGCTTTGGTTGCTAGTTTTGGTTCAAATTCTTGTTCTTTCTTCTTCTTTTTCATCTTGAGTTTTTTTTTTTTTTTTGTGATCATCTCTTTTCTACCCCATCTACTTCTATCTTTTGGTTTTTCTCTTCCATCTTTGTGACTTTTTCATCTTATGTGAGTTTTGATTTTATTAGCCTTCTCAAAAAAAAAAAAACCTAAAAATTCGTGCAAAAAAAGGCAAAAAAAAAAACGTGTTCGTGTGTTGAAAAAAAAAAGAGAAAAAATTCCGAAAATTAAAAAAAATTACAAAAAAAAAATATATTGCTGTAAGTTATGATTGGTGAAAAAGGCTATTCTTGAACTCCAAGTAATCAATAGGTTGCCTAAAGAAAAAAGTCAACTTGAGTGGTAAGAAAGTCTTCTACTTTGGTCACTTTCTTATTTTAATTTTTGGTAGCACTTTTCAAATTCTGTACTCTCCTATTTTGCTGTTTGTGCTACTCTCCTATTCTATTTAGCTTCCTATTTTTGTCTCTGAATATTTGACTCTTTGACTTTTATTTCTTTCTTTCCTATTTTTGTTTGTCACATGTGGTTTTTTCTTTTGCAAGCTTAATTTTATTTGAAAATTTTACTTTTCCTATTTGTTTCAAAATCCAAAAAAAAAAAACAAAATACAAAAATATTCTCTTTTCATCTTGTGCTTGTTTTCTAGTTTCTTTAATTTAGAAGATATGCACTTAGTTGTTTCTTAGTTTCTTGATTTGTGTTTGGTTTCACCATTGAATACTATCCACAAGCTTAGTGAATGGTAAAAGGTAAGTGTGTTTTTCATCTTTAAAAAAAAAAAAAGCCATTAATTTTTTTTTTTAAACACGAGTGACTTTATTTATCTTGAGAGTAAGTACGTGAGTTTGTGTGTATGATGATTCATTTTTATCTTATATGGTTTCTAGTGCTTCTGTGAACATGAGTAACAAGGATGAATCCCCTAGTATTGATATGAGCTCTGTTTTAGAACTTATCAAAATACAGTTGCAGCAGTTTCGCTTGGAACTTGATCATAGGTTCCATAAGGAGGATAAAGATGAGCCGGAGGCTTCCTCTTCTAAAGGAAAAAAGTGTGAAACCCCCAGCGATGATGAGGAGTATGAAAAGCCCCCTTCTCCTAAGGGAAAGAAATCCTCAAAATGTGATATTGACTTACCGAACCAAAACGTAAAGTATCCTTCATTCAAGGATAGTAACAATCCAAAAAAATACCTTGATTAGGAAATAAAGATGAACCAAATCTTCATGACTCTTGATTTGTCTGAGCCAAGGAAGGTGAAAACTGCTTTTTTGAATTTCACTGATTATATTGTTTATTGGTGGCAAGATTTACAACACAAAAGAAGCCAACTTGGGAAAAAGCCCATTAAAACGTGGGAGAAGCTTAAAAAGTACTTGAGAAAGGCTTATGTCCCCAACTACTACTACAAAAAGCTTAATAGAAAGGCTTATGTTTTCTCAAGGATCTATAACAGTGGAGGAGTATGCACACAAGTTGAATATCTTGAAGTTTCGTGCAAACATTCAAGAAAATGAACATGAAGCAATGTCAAGAATTATGGATGGCTTGAGGTTAGAATTGAGAGATAAGCTTGACTTGTACACTTTTGTGGACAAGGAAGAGCTCATACACAAGACTATAAAGTTGAAGCAGAGAAATAAGAACAAACATTCCAAGTTCACTTGGAAAGACTCCAAGGCAACTTTCAAATGGAAGGATTCTAAAACTAAAGATACATCCCAGGCCAAGGAAGAAATAAAGACCAAGTATGAGGGTAAAATTTTAACCCTAAACCTTCTTCTTATTCATCTAACACTTCTCCTATTAAGTGTTTCAAATGTCGTGGTGTGGGCCGCATGACGAGAGATTGTAGCAATAAAAGAGTTATGATCTTAAGAGATGATGGTGGCTATGATAGTGTGCATGAAAGTGATAAAGATGATGTTAATAATGTTGATGATGATTCTACCTCCCATGAATCAAAAGATGAACTTAAATGTAATGGTGTAGTTCACTCTATCTTGGTGGCAAGAAGAGCTCTCAATATTCAACCAAAGGAGGATGATGAACATGAGCAATGCGAGCATATTTTTCACACTAGATGCTTCATCAAAGAGAAAGTATGTAGCATGGTAATTAATGGTGGTAATTGCACTAACGTGGCTAGCACTTTACTTGTAAATAAATTATCTCTACCTTTAATTCTACACCCTAAGCCCTACAAATTGCAATGGTTGATTGATTGTGTTGAAATTAGGGTTACTAAGTAAGTGTTGATTACTTTCTTTGTTGAGGTTTATACTTGTGATGTATTATGTGATGTAACCCCCATGCTTGCTGGACACTTGTTATTAGGTAAGCCTTGGCAGTTTGATAGTAATGCTACTCATGATGGTTTTAGAAATTGTTACAAGATGCCTTTTAAAGGTAAGACTGTTGTATTAAATCCTCTTAGGCACATCCAAGCCCTATGAAGATCAACTCAAAATTGCTCAAGATTACAAGCAAAGAAGAGATCTCCTCGATTGTGGCATGAGTGAGAGAAAAAGAAAGAGAGTATTACTTTACTTGAAAATCAATCAAAAGAGAAGAAAAAGAGTGGTGAGAAGGTGAGAAAAGAAAAAAATAGAATGGTGGAAGTGAAGGAAAAGAATAAAAAGAAAATATTATTGTATGGGAAAAGTGAGATTCAAGAGGGTTTGATGAGTGAGCGAGCTCTTATTGTAATTCTCAAGAATATTTATTTTTCTACTAACACTCTTAACCCTACTTTGCCTTCTAGTGTTGTCTCTTTGTTGCAGGATTATGGAGATCTATTCCCTTATGAGATTCCTAATGGACTTCCTCCCTTGAGAGGAATTGAGCATAGGATAGATTTCTTACCCAGAGCTGTTATTCCAAACAAGCTTGCTTATAGGGCTAACCCTGAAGAGACTAAGGAGATCAGCGCTAAGTAGAGGAATTAATGATGAAAGGCTTTGTGCGTGAGAGCCTTAGCCCTTGTGTTATCGCTATTATCTTGGTGCCAGAAAAAGACAGATCTTGAAGGATGTATGTTGATTGTAGAACAATCAACAAAATCACTGCAAAGTATCGTTACCCTATCCCTAGACTTGATGATATGTTTGATGAGTTACATGGTGCTTCTATCTTTTTTAAAATTGATCTTAAAAGTGGTTATCATCAAATTCGTATAAAAAAGGGAGATAAATGAAAAATTTCTTTTAAAACTAAATTTGGACTATATGAATGATTAGTTATGCCTTTTGATTTGATTAATACTCCTAGTACTTTTATGGCATTAATGAATCATGTTTTTAGAAAGTTTATAGGCAAGTTTGTTTTGGTTTACTTTGATGATATTCTGATTTATAATAAATCTTTGACTGATCATATGAATCATCTTAAAACTATGTTTGACACTTTAGGGGAATACAAGCTATATGCTAATTTTCAAAATTGTTTTTTTTTGCAAGGACTCTATTATCTTTTTGGGATTTATTGTCGGATCACAGGGAATTCGTGTGAATGAGGAGAAAGCTAAGGCTATTCGTGAATGGCCAACCCTTGAGAATGCAAGTGAAGTAAAAGGCTTACATGGCTTAGCAAGCTTCTATCGGAGATTTGTTAGGTATTTTTCTAGCATTGATGCCCCTCTTAATGAACTTGTTAAAAAGAATGTGACCTTCAAATGAGGTGAGACACAAGAAAGGGCTTTCCAAACC